CACCTTTTGCTTCTTAGTTCCGAACGAGCTTGGGCGCAAGCAATGCACATGAAGTCCACACATTCCGCAGATCCTTCCGCAAAGGCCATCTCTGGCGCTGCTCGGCGTCACGTTATTTCTAGACTGAACAAGGCCACTGGGTATGCGCAGCATCTAGTCTCGCTGCTCCACGAGCAAGCGGTCTCTGGGGCGAGTGATGTGGATATCCTGGAGACTCGGGCTTATTTGGCAATGATCTCCGGCACTCTGTGGCTTGAAAAGCGGAGGTGGGAACAGTGTCTTCGAGACTACTCCCTTGCCAGAGTGGTTTATACGGCTTTGGGTCAAATGGTCAAGAGAGATGCTTTTCGGGACCTGCTCTCGGGAACTGTTGACCCAAGTCTCCGATACGCGGCTTATCAGATGAAGCTCCCCCGCTCCAAGCCTACCTCATCGCTGGCCATTGAATTCTTCCCATTGGATTCCGAGATTCGCGCCGAGGTTGAGAAGATCGACCCCTCTTGTCTTGCCGAAGAAGCAGCCGGTACTCGACGAACTGCAGAGGGAGAAGTGCAGGAATTGCCCCAGTCTGTCACCTGGAGATCGCGAACTGTCCCACTGGACGACGCCTCGATCTCTCAATCGTTGGCTGCTGCTTCCGCCGCGGAGGCTCGCCTCACTACTTGGCTGGCAGACGCAGGAAAGTCTGCCGCTCCCAAGGAGAAAGCCGCTGCATATGACAACGTGATTATTGCTAGTCAGGATGCTGTCGATGCTACGAAATCTGCCATTGATGACCTGGCTAGTGAGGGTGTTGATCCCAGTGATAAGAGAATGCAAGCACTCCAAATCACTCGAACTGCAGTTAATTACACTTTGGTTGGCTGGCGAGTCGGCCGTAACCGGGTGTTGTGTGGAGAACGGGACGGTTTATCATTTGAGGATCAACAATCCACGAGTGGAAAGGAAACTGCCAAGCACACCGCAGGAAATGGCAAGAAGTTGAACAAGCTCCGTGAGCGTGTCGTCCTGTATGATTCGACACTTCAGAGTTTGGAATTTATTCTCGAGCTTCCAGGTGTGGCAGCCGACTCAGCCTTTGTGCAGGATCTAGAGGCTAAGCGGCACTATTTCCGTGCTCTCAGGTATGGTTCTCACCACAATCCTCACTGATTCTCGCAACTAATCACTTTTTTTTAACTCTTTAGATGTCTTGCTTTAGGAAGATCCTATGGAGTGCTTTCGAAGTCAAAGGAGGCTCTTGCGCTATTTTCCCAAGCCCTAAACCTCGCCGCCTCCGCCTCTCCTCAGTCAGCAGCAGATACTGAAGGTGTCCCAAAGCTCGACGTCTCCCAGGTGCAATCAAGTACCTTGCAGTCAGCTTTGCGAGATTTGGTTGCCCGGTATCGTGGACTTGTCACTCTAGAGAAGGTGACTACTGAAGAAGCGTCACAATCGAGCCAGCGGCCAGTGGTGGAACGACTACAACAGTTCGCAGGATCCGGACTGGACCTCAATAATTTGGTGCCGTACCCACCTCAAATGCAGCCCATCCCCGTCAAGCCCTTGTTCCTTGATGTGGCATGGAACTACATTGATTATCCACGTGAAGGTCAGCAACAGGAGGCTCCGACTCAGCCACAGGCACAAGCCCAAGGTCCCGTGGAAGAAGAGACGAAAGGCCGTCGTGGATGGTTTGGCTTTGGTGGTCGTTGAACCCTTACATAGATGTGCTACGAATACCCATTTTCTACAAAAGTACGACATTGTAAGCATAAGTACAACCCTTACTTTGACGACCAATCAGCGACAATCAATATATCTCGGGAATTCCCTAGCCGGGTCACGTCGTGCTGAGTAATTGTCCTCTTTAAGATCTACTCCGTACTCCATATGGAGTAGAAGGCTTTACAATGTTATATTTTTTTTGATATGTGTGTTCGGAGTAGATAAAATAAAGCCAATAATTAAGTCCACTTGAAGAGATTACAAAAAAAAAATTCCCCCTATTATACGAATTACTTAAAAAAGTGATTTCAAATGTCCAAAATAAAAACAAAATAAATCAACCTAACAGAATCTATTAAATATGAATTACGCAAATAAATTTATGCATTGATATTGAGATAATGCTGGGCATCCCGCGGGCCTTCGTGTAATTGGCGTTCCCGCCCCTGAGCCCCAGTCAATTCTTTCTCCCTCTCCCCACTCGCTTTTTTCCCTTGATCTCCTTATTCACTTTCTCTTTCAATTCTGTGAATTTGGAACTTTGACCTGGACTCCCAACATGGTCAATATGGCCAATCTCACTGGGAGCTTCGTCTCGCCATCGGCGGATGCGACGGTCTCGCCTCAACTTTTCGCGCCGGCCGGTCTCGTTGCCACCATATTGGATGGCTTCACTATCTGGAAGGGCCTGCTGACTTTCTTGGTCGCTGCTGTCATCTATGATCAGTGTGAGTACCAATGCGATATGTGTGACATTGGAAATCGCGTCTTGAAACTAATTCAGACCCCCTATTTACAGTCAAGTACCACTACCTTAAGGGCGCCATTGTTGGCCCTATGTACAAGATCCCCTTCATGGGCCCATTCCTTCAATCAGTCAACCCCAAATTCACCGAATACAAGGCCAAATGGGACAGCGGTGACCTCAGCTGTGTTTCTGTCTTCCACAAGTGAGGAGCTTCCAGATGTACTCAATTCCTTAGGGTCTGTTCTCTAACCCTATTCTATAAAGGTTCGTCGTGATTGCATCGACTCGTGATATGTCCCGGAAGATCTTCAACTCGCCCGCTTATGTCAAGCCCTGTGTCGTGGATGCCGCGCACAAGCTTCTCGGCAAGACCAACTGGGTCTTCTTGGATGGCAAGGCCCACGTGGATTACCGTAAGGGTCTGAACGGATTGTTCACTCGCCAGGCCCTGGCCATGTACCTCCCCCGCGCCGAGGAGGTGTTCAACTCCTACAACCAGCACTTCCTCAAGAAGTCTGCCGCCACCAACTTCACCCCGACCCCCTGGATGTCCGAGTTCCGCGAGCTTATGTGTGCTCTGTCTTGCCGTACCTTCGTCGGTTACTATATCACTGATGAGGGTGTCCAGAAAATTGCCGATGACTACTACCTGATTACTGCTGCCCTCGAGCTGGTTAACTTCCCTATCATTCTTCCCTACACCAAGACCTGGTACGGCAAGAAGGCCGCCGATATGGTGCTTGTGGAGTTTACCAAGTGTGCTGCTAAGTCCAAGGCCCGCATGGCTGCCGGTGGCGAGATCTCTTGTATCATGGACGCCTGGGTTAAGGCCCAGCTGGATTCCGCCGCGTACCGCGAGAAGATTGCCAAGGGAATCCAGGTTGATGCTTCCGAGAAGCCTAGCCAGGTTCTCCGTGAATTCTCCGACTTTGAAATTGCCCAGACTATCTTCACCTTCCTGTTCGCTTCCCAGGATGCCACCAGTGCTGCCTCCACCTGGTTGTTCCAGCTGATGGCTGACCGCCCCGAGATCCTGGACAAGGTCCGTGAGGAGAACCTCAACATTCGTAACGGTGATCGCACTCTCCCCGCCACAATGGATATGCTCGACAAAATGCCCTACACCCGCGCCGTTGTCAAGGAGACCCTGCGCTACCGTCCCCCTGTCATCATGGTTCCCTACCTGGTCAAGAAGGACTTCCCTATCAGCGAGACTGTCACCGTCGCCAAGGGCTCGATGATCATTCCCTCCGTGTGGCCCGCATGCCACGACGAGGAGGCTTACCCCAATGCCGACTCGTTCGATCCAGACCGCTGGATCACCGGTACCGCTGAGCAGCAGACCAAGAACTGGCTGGTCTTCGGCACAGGTCCCCACTACTGCCTGGGTCAAACCTATGCTCAGCTTTCCCTGATGTCCATGATTGGAAAGGCCAGTATGGTGATGGACTGGGAGCACACCCCTACTCCCGAGTCAGAGGACATCAAGGTGTTTGCCACTATTTTCCCCAAGGTATGTTCAAGCTCATTTTCTGTTACAATGATCAATTTACTAATATATATATCAGGATGACTGCCTTCTTACATTCCGCCCCCCGCGCTTAAATTTTCCCTTTCTTGTACAAAACAACAAAGCGAAGCTGGAACCCAGCCCCATCTTCTGGACAGAGGGCTTGGTTACCTTGACATGATGTCTTCCTGTCCTGGAGATAGGGTGGTCCACTGAACCTTTCTTTCTCATTCGATTTTGATGCATGATGAACGCTCAATACAGGAAAAGTCTTTAGCATATGTTTCTCTTGGAGAGACCTTTCATACCCTTGCGCAAAGAAGCCCCCATTGCGATTATGATTACCTCTTGCCCGTGAGGGGTCGTGGGGGGTTTCTTGTTTCTTTTCTTCCGAGTGACTACTCCTAGAGCCATGCATATTAGAACAATATTAATTCTCTCTTTCTGCTTATATTTACGACATGTCATATAACTGTTTCTCTTGAATTAACTAAACATATATCTTCTCATGTGTCACAAAATATTTGCTAAAACACTTTATCCTTTGTCTCTTTACTTTTGTCTTTTATTCTTGTTTTTACCAGTTCAACTGGTTTAGATGAACAACTTCAACACAATCACGATACCTGATAGTTAAGGCCTTCTAGAGATGACTTGGCTTTGTTTTCCATAGTTATATGATTCTAGTGCAATTCTCAGTCACAAGGTCTCCTCTACTTGATGTACACTCCCAATATATATATTTGTGCTATCTCTACAAGATCTATAGAAGTCAATAGAAATATTTATTAGCTCCCAATCAACACTCTCTAGCTATAACCCAACCAACTGAGTCATTCCTACCAATCAAATTCCCCAACATTTCCCAGCAAAGCTCGTATATAACCTCAAAGACTGCTCATAGTAATGAAAAAACCCCTAAACCAGTAAGCGGTCACACAGGGCAGATACTGACATCACCGTTCCTCGTTCCGAGGTTACGTCCGGAGACGTAATAACTCCCAACTCACCTCCGCGGACAATCAAATCGAAACAATGGCTCCCACATTATCATCCAAGATCCAGCGATCTGCTATCGTGCTGTCCTCCACCGCAGTCAGAATCCCGACACGCATTGCGGTATCACCAGCTGCGGCCTTGCACCGAGCTATCTCCACACGGACAAGAGGACTGGTTACTTCCCAGAACCGTCATCTAGTACCATCATGCAGTCTCCAAACCAAGTCATTCCAAAACAAGAGTCCGCGCCAAGTGCAGACGCGCTGGAACAGCGATGAGGCTAGCCCAGTCAAACTCCAGGAATGGGGATTCGAAGATGTATGTACCGAACCCTCCATTAGTTATTTGAACCGAATATTATACCCCAATAGAACACAACCATAAAACCATTGCCATTAAAAAACCTCTAACAAAAACCAACAGATCAACGCCGCCCTCCCAACCTCAACCCCCAACTCCCCAACCCACAAGCCCATAATCCTCATCGACGTGCGCGAGCCCGCCGAACTCCAAGGAACGGGTATAATCCCATCAGCAGTGTCCATCCCGCTAGCATCACAGCCCGATGCATTGTACCTCACGCCAGACGAGTTCGAGACCCGGTTCGGGTTCGCTAAGCCTGATCCTACAGAGAGCGAGGGCGAGCCTGCGCAGATGGTCTTCTATTGCAAGGCTGGAGTGCGGGCTAAGACGGCGGCGCAGATGGCTGTGCAGGCTGGATATGACCCTGCTAATATTGGGGTTTATGCGGGTAGTTGGTTGGATTGGGAGAGGAATGGGGGGAAGGTTGAGAAATGGGAGGGTGATGACTTTTGAGTTTGGATGTTGAAGAAGTGCTCGTTTGATGAGCGCTTGATAGTTGTTTCCGGGGACGAGGTGCGGGATAAAAAAGGACTGTACATACTACATAAGGCCGGAGAGGATATTGAAGGGTAGATCACCTGCTCTATTCTGATATTCCGAAGCAAGGTTCGACTTGGCCTGTGTACTAAAAAGACTTGATCTTTCTCGTTTCAAACCACTCAAATTGCTTTCGTGCATTAAAGACAGAAAAAAATGAATTATGTAGTTAACATGTCTATTCACTTGCAAACACTTGAATAGTATAAAATCAATTCACTATAACAGAAACAAAAGATCTGGTATGGGCCAGGCCTTGCTTTTCCTATATCATGTACAGGCGACTTCTCTCGCTGTTCATCCATCAAGTCATGGTCATTCATTGTATGTTCAAATCGTAATCAAAATAGCATAACTTTTCCGTATTTCGATAGCAATTGTCATAGCTTAGTAGATTTTGATTTCCTCAAAACTGGCTATGATGGAACCGAAGGCCATGAGGGCCGACGGAGAACAAAGCTCGCCACTCACTGGCATTTGATCGTCAAGTTCGCTCGAGAATAGGTATCGCAAGTCTGGAATGGGTCCGGTGCTGAGACTTGATCTACAGACATCGCACACCGGAAGGAAGTCCTAAGACTGAATTCAAGGAATGTCGAAGATGGGCTTGAGCTTCTTGACCAGAGCCCATTCCTCCATAGAGACCTCGGCCCGGTAGAACTCCTTGAGGGTGTCGATACTCTTACGCGAGATGTGTGAGAGCAGCTGGTCCTTCTCTTCGAGGTGACGACCATACATGGGCTGGTTGGGGCCCTCGATCTTAACAGCAACGGAGGGCTGACCTCTCTTGCAGACCGGAACGGCCTTGTGATCGCGCTCGATGGATGTGCTGTGAAAACGGCTGTGTTAGAAAACAGAAAAAAAAAAAAAAAGATGAAAGGGAAGTCAAACTTACACTCTACCAATATCGACAATCTCCCTCACACCAGCGGCATTGGTCCTGACCGCAGCCAGAGGAGTGTGGAGACGCAGGCTTCCTTCAATGACATCAACACCGATGACAATGGGGTCGGTCTTGTTGAAGACAGCAACGGGCTTGATGACACAGGGGAAGATAGCAAGGAGCTTAGCCTCCTCCTTGCGCTGTTCTGTGATCTGAGCCATGTGCTCAGTGAAGCTATCGAATAAGTGGTAAATGATGTCGGCGGTGAAGACCTTGACACCAATTTCGTTGGCATAGGCCATTGCATCCTTATCGACCTTGACATCGAAGCACAGCATGACAGCATATTCCTTATTCTTCTCAAGCATGGTGCCGGCCATCATGACATCACGCTTGTAAACGGGACCAATGGAGATATTGGCAACAGGAATCTTGGAGACCTTAAGGAACTCCAGAAGAGCCTCAAGCGAGCCCAGGGTGGAAGCCTGGACAGTGACACCACGCTGATCAGTTGAGACACGGCTCAGCAGATTCTCCAGATCGCTCATGACCTCCTCCTCAAGATCCTCCTCATCATCGTCAGGGCCGACGACCATCATGCGAGAACCAGCAATAGCGTGCTCCAAGTCGTTGGCAGCAATCTTCACACCAAGGGCAGCCTTAACTTCCTTGTTGTGAACGTACTGGGACTTCAGACGCAGCTCCTTGAGCGGTGCTGGTGTCAGAAGAGCACGGATATTGGTAGTAATAGGACCGTTAAGACCGCACATAACGATGCGATCACCCTCGCGAAGGATACCGTTGGACAGAATAACGTCAATGGTGGTGCCGAGACCCTCAATGACCTTGACCTCCAGAACTGTACACTCGACCTCGGACAGGTACATCAAGGAGTTGGTCATACGCTCTTGACTCAGGCTGGTCAGGAGCTTCAGCATGTCAGGAACACCCTCTCCAGTGTGGGCGGAGGTGGGAACGAGAGAGACGTTGCGAGACAGAGACTTGTTCTCGAAGAACAGCTCGGAGTTGAAACCCTGCTCGGCGAAAGCAAGCTTGGTGGCCTCAAGACGAGTGCGGAATTCATTCTGAACACCCTTGTTCTGCATAGCCAAACTATCCTCGAAGCCATTGTTGTCAATCTTCTTCCAGCCGTAGAGACGATCAATCTTGTTCAATGCGACAATGAAAGGAGTCTTGCGGTCACGCAGCAAACGCATAGACTCGAGGGTCTGGGGCTCGAGACCGTGCATAATATCAACAACGAGGATAGCAATGTTGCAAAGGGAGGAACCTCTTGATCGCAAGTTGGAGAAGGACTCGTGACCGGGGGTATCGATGATCAACAGACCGGGGACCTTGAACTCGAACTTGCCGTCCTTGTTCACAACCTGGGTCTTTGTGCGCAGAGCATCGACTGGGAAGTAAGTGGCACCGATCTGCTGGGTAATACCACCGGCTTCGCCCTCCTGCACGTTGGTCTGTCGGATCTTGTCAAGCAGCTTGGTCTTACCAGTATCGACGTGACCAAGAATACAGCAAATAGGGGACCGGAGATCATCCTTTGAACGAGCAGCCAAAGCCTCCTCGTGCTTGACCTTCCTCCGCTCCGCAGCCTCGGCCTTTCTCGCCTGAATGGCCCTTTGGTTGGCAGACTGCTCTTCGTCAGATGAATCTTCATCAGATGATTCGTCGGAGCTGGATTCTTCTTCCTTCTCGTCCTTTTGGGCGGGTGCTTCCTCAGCGGGCTTCTCTTCCTCATCCGATTCAGCATCCCAGCTGTCCTTGACTTCCTCATCAGCAGCCTGCTCCCAGTCTTCGATGGCCTCGTCCTCTTCCGCAGGAGCAGCAGCAGCAGCGGCGGCGGCGGCGGCCTCAGCCTTGGCTTTCTCCTCGGCCTGCTTCTTACGATCTTCAGCCTCGCGCTGAGCCTGGGCTCGAGCGGCGGCAGCCTCAAGGTCCTCCTCCTGCTTCTTGCCAGCTCTCTTCTTCTTGTTCTCATATACCGGGCGCGCCTTCTTGTCGGCACCCTCCTCCAAGCCAGCAACCTTGCCACCGGCGGCAATCATCTGCTGCATGCGCAATTCATTGCGCTCCTTGGCCTCTCGTTGAGCCTTGGTAAGCAACTTGCCTTCCTTGCGTAGCTGCTCCTTCTTTTCGCGCTCCTTCTCCTTCCTGCGCTCACGAGCCTCTGCACGCTTCTTCTCTTCTTCTTCATCAAGCTGCTGCTGCTTGGCGGCGGCAGCCCGTTCTTCCTCTGCAATGCGCTCCTCCTCCTCGCGTTGCTGTCGAAGAAGCTCCTGTTGCCTCTGAAGAGCTGCTAGGTGGGGAGGAAGCTTCTTCTTCTTGCCACCAGTCTCTGCGGGTGCAGCGGCGGCGGCGGCTGCATCTTTCTTGGCCTCAGCGTCGGCAGTCTTTTTGGCCTCGGCCTTCTCTTGAGCAGGGGTGAGCTTCTTCTTCGTGGCAGCCTACATAGACGAGAAAAAGACATGTTAGTAAATGACTTCGAGACATGGCAGGGATTTCCAGCATGAAGAAGAATGTATAAACCTACCTGCTCCTTCTTGCGCTGCTTCTCCTTCTCCTTCTTCTCACGCTCCTTCTCCTTTTTGCTCTTTACTCGGAACTCGCCCTCGGGCTCTTCCGCCGCAGGCTTAACCACCTCCTTGATGGGCTTGGTCTTCTTTCCAGCGAAAACATCGTCATCATCGAAGTTACCCTCCTCGGGTTGCTTGCTAGCCAAATCGTCGGCAGGCTTGGCCTCGGCACCCTCGGCGTCCTCACCCTCGACGAAATCATTGGTCTTGCCCTTCTTAGCCTTCTTGGCCTTATTTTTTCTCAAAGCAGCCATAAGACCACCGACCGGCGCAGCCTCCTCGTTGGCATCTTCTTGGGGTTGCTCGACGGGAGCCTCGGTGGGAGCAGACTCGCCGAGATCGGCTTCCCAGTCCTCCTCCTGTCTCTTGTTGCCCTTCTTCTTTGGCGCCATTGTGATAAATTTCCCTTGGGGGTTTGGTGATGATCCGATTGGAGTGGTGACCGGAGAAATGTAGTGGGCGCACAAACGGAGCTAACCGGTTATTTGCGAGGTGTAGTAATACGCACACGTATTAAAAAGGGAGAGGATGACAGAAGTCAAAAAAGGACAATCCCCAGAATGAAAGGCGAGAGATAGAGCTCTCTGTAAGGTGGGCCTAGGGAGGGGTGTGGGAAAGGAAAAGAATTTCGGGAAGATTCATGGACGGTGGGGAACAATGGGCTCTAAATCGCCACGACCGAACAGCTGAACTTCCTATATCAATGTTTTTTTCCCCTTTCTTCTAGGATATCTTATATTACAAATCTACCAATCTACCAGAAAACGAACTTGAAACATTACTACTAACATTTTAATCTGAGCTATCCATGGCATAGATACATCTTCAGGGCTACGGAATATGTAGTTCCAAGCTTGCTCTTCACACTCCCCAGTTGAGGCCCTTCGACATTAGATTTCAATGTGCAGCACCCTCCGAAGCCAGGTGAAGAGAGCCTGGGTATGATTGACATCAACTCTAAGTGTTTCCTCAATTGCCTCAATAAATACCTGCACTGTTTCAGTGGTCAGGTCCTTGAACTGATTCCTGTCGCATGCCATAAGAACCTTATCCAGGTATGTCGAGTCGCGACTCACAAGGCGAGCCAGAATCGTACCATCGATATGCATGCTGTTTTCAACCTGGGAGATTGCATCAAGGTAGCGATGTCTGCGGGACAGGGAGGGACAGATGACCTCATCCCTAAGGCAGATATTGAGCAGAAGTTGAAGAAGGCGGCATTCCTTCGCATGAAGGGCCAAGAGCCGATAGACAGATCCATTGATGCCAAAGCCATAATAGGTGCAGTGGGCCATCAGCGAAGCCGGAGACTTGCAGCCTTTAGTGACCTTAATTAATGAGACAGGAAGAGCGGCCACCGGACAAGCCTCAAGGTTAACTGGTGGGTCGGGCGTCTTGATTGTGAAAATTCGAGCAGCTCCACCTCGGCTACTCACTAA